GCCATCCTTTCACTTCAGCACATCTTTTTTTTTCGTCTTCACTCTCTGAACTTAGCTCCATGTCAAGATATTTATTTGCTGTTGCTTCTGGCTCTTCTTGATTTTCATCGTCAATTTTCTCTTCTCCGTCATCTAAATCGCTTTCTTCTTCTTCTTCTTCTTCTTCTTCTTCCTCGCCTTCTTCCATATGAGCTTCTTCAGTTTCATTTTCCTCCAAATCTTTTAATTCGTTGTTAATTTCATCAATGGAAATGCCTTTTTCGTTTAGCTTCGCCTTTAAAAAGTTGATCGTACCCCGTGTGAAAAAATAGTAACTGAGCAGTCAGTTAACTAATTTGGGACACAAATGACTTACTTTGATTGACATTTCAGTACAAAGTGTAGTGTAAGTCTATCATAGTTAACTAAAATCATTTGAAGTTACAAGTCAATCTAAGTTGCTTCATTTGGGACCAAGTGATTTTCTTAGAACAAAAATATAAATTCAATCAACTAAAGTCAACTGAAGTTCATAGTCAGTCAGTCATTTCTTTTTCACACGGGACGTTGTTGTTTGGTGATAGTGTGCATAGGTGCTTTGATATGTGCGTCTTTTGCCTCTTCCGTCATCCGAATCTTGCCCTTTATATAAAATTGGTTTTCAACCGCTTCATTCTTCAATATGGTGATTTGATGAATATTTTCCATGTGACGCATGTGCGAGTGTTGAGAAACTTGCATTTCCTCACAATGTGGATCGTGCGAACATGATTATTCAAATTGGAAATCTTCGTGTATTTTTGGTCACATGTTTTACCATCTTCTTTGTGTGTGCACTTCAAAACCGTTTTTGCTTGCGATTTCTTTCCAGGCTTTTTTTTCAACACAGTTGGTCTAGAACGATTTGAGCGATTTGGACGCGTCGTACGTGATCTTTTTGTGTGTTTGGATGGTTTTGATTGTGATTTCTTTCCGGACTTCCCTTGCCCTCGAGCTAATCGCTGCGAACGTGTTGTCACCATGGTTGAAATGAAGAGACTAAATACATTTTTCGATTGAGACCAATTGCAACCATTCTCTTGCTGTCTCGCGTTTTTGAGTGTGTATTAAACCTTTCAAACTGTATAGCCGTTGTTCCAAAAATCGGTATCACCCGGTCTCACCATTCCACACTTTGATTACTCAGCCAAAACATTTGTTAATCCCTTTTGATGTTTATATTCATTAACTTGAAATATGATACTCCGAGATCGATCTGTATCGGTAGAATAAACGGATTGTTTTCTCTCTCGGAAAACAAAAACAATTTGGTTCATAAATTTCAGATATTATTATGCTCATTGGTTTGTATGGCTATGTGTGCGTTCAGACCTCTGGCTAACGCGGGCTAACGCTTCTCGTATACAAAGATGTGAGTACCGTAAATTAAATAGAACGGAGAGCGAGATATCGTCGGATGTTGTTCGCTTTGTTTGATTAAGTGTGTTTGTATCAAATTATTTATAACAAAACTCAAAAGATTGCTACATTTTCTGATTACTTAAAGAACATTTGTTTATGTCTCTTGATTCCATTTCAATCCTATGTTATTTCCAGCACTTATTCGAGACGAACGATGTGCAATGTATATAGGGTTTTTTTCATATCATAACGATTCAAATCGAATGTGTTTATTTGTTTAATTTATTAAAGACACAGACTCAGTGGATTACAATCAGACATTTATTTTTCAAAAGCGGTTGCAGTTAAAACTTCATGGGAAACCATCAAGGGTGAAAGCAGTAATCGAGTACTGCATTCAATGCCGATTCAATGCCAATTCAATGCTATTGACTGCGATCCAATGTTGCACAATATTCTATTTCATTCGAGTCTAGTACGTTGCGCATAACACAACCACACAATGGAGATACTTTTATTGTATAGAAGTGAATAGCATTAATTTGAATTTATTTGCATTGAATTGGAATTGAATCGGCATTGGATGCAGTACTAGATTACTAGTCTGTATTTTATGAAGATTGAATTGCGGAAGATTTTGATGTTGATCAAAATTCGAAAGAGACATTCTGTCTAATTTTCTTTGTTGCTGTCATCCAAATCTTCTTGAATTACCGGCAGCAGGCCTTGTATCTTCATTTCTTCAGAAGGGCAAGGGCCTCTTCCACCAAACGGAGCTGGCAATGGTTTGAAGCGATATGGTGAAATGTTTGTTATTTCGTTGAACGGATGAATATTCTCAACCTCCATCTCTTTATCCGATTCCGAGTCATCACTGGTTGACATGTAGCCAAGGTAAGGGTCTTGTGGTGCAGTGAGTGAAGCATTGGTAGTACCGTCATTTTCCTGCTCCATTTCTTGGTTAGAGCCACTTTGAACATCTTCAGCTTCGGAGCTATCACTGAATGACATGTTACCAAATAGCCCATAATAAGGATCTGCTGATGCAGTAGGTGAAGCGTTGGCACTACCGTCATTTTCCTCACTATCACTAGATGACATATAACCGAATGTATCATCTGGATCTAGCTCGGTTAGAAGCAGCTTGCTTGATTGCAATATGGACCATTTCAGCTGGTGGTTCATTCGAAGCAACTTCACCGTCATCACTTTGATTGTAATTAGCCTCGGTATCATTCGTTTCTAAAGGATCAGTTTGCTGTTCATGATCACTTTGGTCGTCTTGGTTCATTGGCTGCTCAAGCTCATTGATTGCAATATGTGCCATTTCAGCTGGCGGTCCTTCTTGTGCAGCCATTGAAGCCCGGCGACCTCGGAAAAAAAAACGATAGCCTACGTACCCGTGGAGCTTGTCCCACTTGTACAATTCCATTATTGAGACCACGAAGAAAGTCCTGGAGATTTGGGCGATGAATTGACATACTTGTCCTTCTTTATCGTGGCGGCGCACGTGGGCGGCGCACCTGATCTATAATTATGGGATTATCAGGAACCAATACAGCAGGGACAGAAGGTTCGACGATTTGGTCGGCGAATTTGATCGACTGGCCGAGCACAGGTCAACATTTGTCGGTCCATTTGTCGATTCACCGACAACCGAACGTGGACCATTTGGCTTCGACAAAACTCGTCATCGCTGAGATTTCCGCGAAAGCGAGTAATTGATCGTATCACTGAAATATATATTTAATATTTCACTATAGTATCATTATCTAATGGAACTTATCGAATGTATGAAAAATGTATAACCTCAAACTTCACAAGCTTCACACACATTTTGTTTCAAAAATATATATGTGCGAATTGAAAAAACCCAAATTGAAGAATCCAAATTAATTTCAATTTGTTATATTCTGAAATAGAAAAGTTTGTGAAGTTTGAGATTGAAACTGTTTCATATATCATACACGTTTTTTTGTTGATAAATTCCATTTTATCCAATCGAAAAAATCAAACGGACTTTGTAGATTCTTTACTTACATCGACGATTCACTATTTCACTTGGTTTTTTTTTATTATTTTATTTTTACCCATTTTGCAAGCACTTTCGAGAACAAACGGCGCAAGTACTTTCGAGAACGAATGAACACTGTTGATTTGACATTCTTGCTTGCAGCAAGCTTTTGTCAACACACATACATACTTATGGCGCTGCTATGTACCATTTGTGGTACTAGCACCGGACCTCTGTTGCCATTTATTATTTTGTACTAGTGTTTCTTTTCAAATAATATTCGGCTTTTTTTAAAACAAAGTTGCAACACTTGAAATTGGTCGTCTCATGTAAACTTGATGATGACAATTTTTTCACTCTTATGGCATTTTGCATGCAAAATAACTCGACGGTCGAAATAACTGTGATTTTCTTTTCTAAATCGGGTTTATAAATGAAATAGTGATTTTGTATAAAATTTTATAAACAATAAAAAGAATTACATTGGTAATCCCGACCTTTTCCGTACCGTTGGCATGCGTTGTCCGTAGGTACTTTTGGTTATTTTTTGTGAATTTTCTTGAAATAAAGGCAGTGAAAATATAATAATAAAAATAAAGTGAAAAATCGGTCACTCTAACTAAAACTTCGAAAATTTTGTATGAGAGGTACCCGTAAACCGACTTCTATTGGTTTCAAACTTTCAGAATCTTATTTTTCTCTCAAAGAATGAAATCCCAGAAAGTTTGAAACCAATCGGAGTCGATTTACAGGTACCTCCCATACAAAAGTGTCAATTTTTTGAGGTTTTTCTTAGGGCAAGTACCCCAGGATCAAATCGAAAATGGCTCATCTTCGAACTTAAACTAAGTTTTTCAAATACAAAACTTTTGGCATTTCCAGATTTTGATTATCTCAATTATTTTTTGAGTTATCGTGTTAACAAACACCAACGACGACGACAACGACGACGACGACGGCACACGAACGGAAAATTGTCTCAAAGAGTGGTTTTCTACGCATTTCATGAGTTTTTATGATGATCTAAGCTAATTTTGCGAAAAAAGTTTTCGGGACCAATTCCTATACTTTCCCTTGACACGTTGTGACAAATTCGAAAAGTTACAGACCAAACTAAACTTTATAGCATTTTTTGTATGAAAAATCGTGGAAGAATCATAGCTTGGTCTGTAACTTTTCGAATTTGTTAAGAAATTTGAAATCTATTAAATGGTAATGTGGAAAAAATGTATTTCAATTAAATACGACCATCGGTGGAGTGAATTTTGTCAAACAAATGATAAATTTTCCGATTTTTCGAAAAATTTTGTCATTTTTTGTATGGAAGGTCTTAATTATTTTTCCCGCAGTTTTTGGGCAATTTCATCAATAAATGATATCCATTACCGAAAATAATGAAATTGATAGTCTAGCCCATTTATAAAAACTTCAAATATTCTCATAAACATCATTTCATGAATATTTTTTTGTAAAATAACAGAATTAATGGGAAAAACTGAAATTTCAATGCCGGTCCTAATTAAATTTCCATGACTGTATATCGTAAGCAATTAAAAATACAAATAAATTGAGCTGTTTTTTGACAGAATATTAATCGATGGTCGAACAAAGCAACAATATTGGTTGGTATGGTCATAGATTGACGAAAAAATGTTTTGAAATTATTTCTACACTGCAATCGAAGGAAATCATCCGATTATTCAGCTAAATTGGTTCAGCTATTCGTCACCTGAAAAATACACATCAATCAAAAAGATCAAACTAATTTCTTATTTAGTGAAAAAAATAAGCAACATTACCATTGTTAGTAGACAATTGAATCTATTCCAATTGCTCTGCAATATTAATTTTCTTTCCTTTACCGATAAAAAGTTTGGCGACCTCATTGTGACCTAAAAATAATACAGATCAATGAAAAAGATCAAATCGATATCTTATTTAGTCAGCTTTACCATTGTTAATAGCTACTTGAAGAGGAGTCTGATCCGAATTATTTTTAACATTAACATTTGCTCCTTTACGGATGAGAAGTTCAGCGACTCTCCTATGACCTAAAAAATAATTTAGATGGATGGAAAAGATCAAATCAATATTCTTTTAGTAAAGACAAGTATCCAACTATTACCATTCTGAGCAGCTAAATGAAGAGGTGTGTTTTTCGCAGTATTTTCATTATTAACATTGGCTCCCTTACTAATGAGAAATTCGACAACATTCTTGCGACCTGAAAAATAACACAGATCGATGAAAAAAATAAAACTGTTTTCCTATTTAGTGAGAACAAATAATCAACATTACCATTCAAAGCAGCTAAATGAAGGGGTGTATTATTAAGATAATTTCCCATTTCATAATTAGCTCCTTTCCTGAGTAGAAGTTCAGCGACATCCTTATGACCTGAAAAATAATTTTGACCGATAAATAAGATCAAATCAATCTTTTATTTAGTGAAACTCATAAAATCTCGTAGAAAGCATTTTTAAGGTGTTGAAACGTATATGGACAGTGGACACCATTCCGGAGCACAGCAATCGTGTAATGTGTAAGCTATATGTACAAGATTTATGGTGTGGCCGTACACATAGCTTACACATTACACGATTGCTGTGCTCGGGAATGGTGTCACGAGATCTTATGAGAAGTATTACCACTGAAAGCAGCTGAATGAAGAGGTGTCGCATAGAAATCATTTATTTTATCAACAATGGCTCCTCTTTGGATGAGAAGTTCAGCAACACTCTTTTTACCTGAGAACACAGATCGATGAAAAAAGAGATCAAATCAATCTTCTATTCAATGAAAATATTTAACATTACCATTGAAAGCAGCTAAATGAAGAGGTGTCTCATTCGAATTATTTTCAATATTAACTTCGGCTCCATTGTTGATGAGTTTTCGAGCTTCCTGCGTTTTACCTGAAAAATAATGCAGACCAATGAAGTAGATTGAACGAAGCATTTTTTAAAAACATAAATACTCGAAATTACCAGTCTCAGCAGCTCTATGCAGAGCTGTTACTCCATTTATGTCTTTTTTGTTTACTAAAAGTTGAAAAAATAGAAGATCAGTGAAGTGAATCGGAAGAAAATGTTGCATACAGTGACGCAGTGTGCTGTGTGAGTGAAACTTGATAAAAAAATGGAGCCTCAATCTTACCGTTTCCACGCACATCCACGATCAGGAACTGTGGAAATAAAACAGAGTGATTAAATTGGAATGGAACAATGGATGAGATTGTAATGTTTTCAACTGTTTTTCATTTGAGTAAAAGTTTCCGATGGACATAATTTTTGAAGTGGAAGATTTACAAATCGCCAATAAAAATGCGACCATTTCATACGTAATCAAGGAAAATCTGTATTTGGGGTCGCCAGATCGACCCGGGACTGGGTCCATTGTTGGGGGAACCATCACATTTCCCAACAAAGCCGGAATATTTTTGCTTATATTGGGTATTTCCATTTTCATGTTCCTGAAAAAAAACGAAGAATCGAAAGTTGTCTACATGTACTGCTCAAACGAAGACTACGAGGAGACATTACAGGAACATGAAAATGGAAATCGTTACGAGAACATCAAAACGTTGGTTGGAACTCAGTCGTACCATTCATTCAAGCCAGTTGCTGAAGGTGTTATCGATGTTCGCCGTTATTCCGCTAGCGACGTTTTTGAAACCGTTTCAATATTGAAAAAATAATAATCATATTCATTTCAAAACAATATGACTTCTTAAAGAATCATTTCAAATCTGAATTTAACTCAGTTTTTTTCAACATAAAATATTATAAAAACAAACATTTGTATTCATTTAGCGATGTAGAAAAACCAAAATTTTCAATAAACATAACAATCTGTAGGTTGAGTTTAAATTGCTGTATTTTAATATTGATCACGCATGTAACATAACATTCAAACCAATGCAATTGAAACGGAATTCACTTGAAAAGTCACAATGTATCCAACCAAATACATATTCGGTGTATTCGAACCAAAATGTGAATTTTAAAGGAGTTTTCGCATAAAAATGCCCACTTAAAAGCAAAATGATAACAAAATAATGTTCTTTTGTTCGTAAACCTCATTATTTTTATGATAGAAACATCAAAAAAAGCATATTTTGCTACAAAATTGAAATTTTCACTATGAAATATTGCGAGTTGAAAACATTGGTCGAAACAAAGGCACTTTTCGATACCCTAGGCTGATCAGATTGCATCAGTGGTACTCTAAATCGTTTGCTCGTCGAAAATTTGGAGGATATGAACCAGCCATAAGTCGTTGGAAGTGAGTTTAGTGTGTCATATAAGCGATTTTGTATGCACAATTCGATCATTCGAAGACATTTCGGCACTGTTTACTTTCAAATGATATTTTCACATGGAAAATGAACTAAACCATGTGTTCTGGTGTGGAGGTGTCTCTATTATTTCGACGTAAAATTAATTTTTATGCTGGTCTGGGTATCATATCTGGTCGAAAAATCGGTCTTTTTCGGGCAAAAACGTGAAAATTCTGTCCGATCTCTCATTTGTGTTGACAAAAACATGCGAATTTTGGTCCCGGCCTATTTTGGCCGACTATACCATCATGTAGGGCTCTTGAAATCCGGTAAAAAAAACGAAAAAAATTGATAAAAACCCCGGGCGCCGGGTGGCTAGCACTGGTCCAAACTTTGGAACCGATTTCTGGTATGGGTGGACAAAACGGCAATAAAATTGACCAAAAAAATTCAAAATCGACAACAAATCGAAATAAAATGTAACAAAACAATCAATAAAATTAACATTACGTCCAATGAAATTTCCAGATTGAGAAAATAAATCTGACAAAATGGGTATAAAATTGACATTTTTTGCAATAAATTTGACGTAAATTTATTTATTTAGTGCTTGCTATTGTCAAATTTATTGAAAAAGTGTCATTTTCCTATCCATTTTGTCAGATATATTGCTAATTTTGTCAGAGTAATTTTCTCAATTCGACCATTTCATTGAAGGTAATGTTAATTTTATTGATTTTTTTGTTACATTTAATTCAGATTTTTATGTCGAACTGAACGGAAACAAAAGCGACAAATGATCTCGAAGCTGTCTAAAAAAGGACGCCCCGTACTCGCCAAAAGTGCATTAGAAAAACAATAAGAATCAGAAAAAAGATCGAATATATCGACTTAAATTTTGGAATCATAACTCTTAACAGGGAATTGTTAGATTAGACGCAAACTTTTTTTCAATGTATCACCTCTAGATAAATTGAATGATGACTTTTGCAGTCATTGACGCCGTCACTATAATGTTAATGCTTCAGTTAGCCTTTAATTTTTTACACGTTTAAGTTAGGCTATATTGGTCCGTTTATATCTCGGCTACCTACGCATTTCCATGTATCGGTTACACAGTACAACAATATTTTGGTGATGGCTGCACTCATTGGGGTTTTGAATGCACGATTTTATAGGACCGAAATACAAACCAAACTGCATCATTAGTTTGTTCAGAGGACGTGAAAATAAGAAAGTTATCAAAGTTGGCGAATTTTGAGTACCCCTCACAATTAACACAATGATTCTAGCAATGTTGAGATTTGACACATTACTTTGTTTTAGTACCATTTGCTCATGAATAAAATTCCTTCAGATACCAACCCCTCACCAAGTCTTTTTATACCACGCAATCAACTAAAAACACAAAAAAGTACTTTTCATGAAAAGATCAAAATCAAAAAAATTCATCATGAAAAAACTAAACATGTGACAGTTTCTTAGTATAAAAGCGATATGTAATTCCATCAAAACTAAATGTAATTTCATCTGTCTGTCCAAAAACCAAATTTTTTTTAACGAAAAAAAAATTTAAATTTTTTTTCCTCCGGTGTGCGACTTGAACTCGAGTCCACACGCTCATAAGTCTGCTTTTCTACCTACGCGCTGATTTTGCTTTATTCAAAAAGGCGACAATGCTGGTTTTTAACTACAACATTTCATGTTTCATTTTCTTTGGCTTAATACACACCACTTTGTGTTTGTTTAGTGTTAGTTGGTTTTGTTGAGAAAAAAATTGTCGGGTACAAAACAACTGATATCAAAAAAAAAAAACTTCTTTCGAAGTAATTCCTCGTGACGAAAGCGAACACAAAACAGCTGGTATCAATTTTAAAAAATCATTTCGGAGCGATTTAGATTGGCTTTTTTTGCATTCTTCCAACTAATTTCAGAATCGCACCGTAATGATTTTTTAAAATTGATATCAGCTGTTTTGTGTTCGCTTTCGTCACGAGGAATTACTTCGAAAGAAGTTTTTTTATTTGATTAAGTATTCAGCCAGTGATTCGCGGTGTAATTTGTGCTGAATAAATTAATGAATTCGGTTATTTCTTTGTCAATTTTTGATTGTTTGTCGCTTTTGTTTACGTTCAATTTGACAAAAAAATCTGAACTAAATGTAACAAAAATAAAAAGAATTACATTGGTAATCCCGAACTTTTCCGTACCGTGGGCTGCGTTGTCCGTAGGTACCCCAGGATCAAATCGAAAATGGCTCATCTTCGAACTTAAACTAAGTTTTTTGGATACAAAACTTTTGGCATTTCCAGATTTTGATTATCTCAATTATTTTTTGAGTTATCGTGTTAACAAACACCAACGACGACAACGACGACGGCACACGAACGAAAAAGTGTCTCAAAAGGTGGTTTTCTACGCGTTTCATGAGTTTTTATGATGATCTAAACCAATTTTGCGAAAAAAGTTTTCGGGACCAATTCCTATACTTTCCCTTGACACGTTGTGTACGGAAATGTAATAAATTTACGTCAAATTTATTGCAAAAAATGTCAATTTTATACCCATTTTGTCAGATTTATTTTCTAATTTGGCAATTCTATTAACTATATTGTCAAAATTATTTTCTCAATCTGGCAATTTCATTGGACGTAATGTTAATTTTATTGATTGTTTTGTTACATTTTATTTCGATTTGATGTCGATTTTGTTGGCGATTTGTAAATTTTAAAGGAGGATCCGTAATGAGCCAGATTTTTTTCAATTGAAAAACTTTAAAATGGACATTTTTTCATTAATGAAATGAGTTTCGAAAAAATTATCACAAATTGTCCACAAAAAGAATCAAATGTAAAAGATTCGATCCAAAATTTACAAGTGAAAAAAATTCCAAGCAACATTAACCTTCAAACCGTAAAATGAATTTTCTAACGTTGTTCGTAAAATCGGTGCCTGAGTGCCCATAATGCATTTTATATGGGAAATGTCAGTTTTTTCTTAAATTTTTATTTTTAAATGCAAATATTTCAGTATATCTATTGACTAGATCGAGAGGAGAGTA